TTTTTTTTTTTTCTTTTTTTTAAAGTAAAACAGGGCCGTATGGTCCTAGCTCCTTCTATTCTGGGGAGCATCAGTCCGGTTCCTATTCCACCGGCAAGTCAAAATACACATTACATCAATGAAGACTCACACACTCTTCCTTCCGTCAGGCCGAAGGACCCCTGGACAGCATTGATTACTCCACCGCAGTGGAGGATTGACTGTCAGATTGTCATGCCCCTCTCTTTCCTCTCAGATCTGGAGTACAGATCTGCCATATAATACTATGTCCCCTAGAAAGAGTTCAACCTTTGTCCCTGTCGGCCTGTGTCCTCCCCACTCAACTGCCCTACCTGTGGTGCATGATGTCCCCTTTCTCAGCTTGTTTGTCTCCCCCTTTTTTTTTAAAACCTGTTTTAAACCCTAAACCCTAAGCCCTCAACCTGCGAAACCGAGTTCCAGTCACTCTTTGAATCTGTCCTTTCCCCTTGCTCTTGTCCTTTCGTGCCGTCCGTCTAAATCTGTGCTATCAAACCTTGACTGTGGCAGTTTAAACTTGTCTATTTTGTCTGTTCCCCAGCCTTAAAACCTCCACCCTCAGCCTGTGTATCCCTTCTTCAACATTCCCTTGAGTCCACCCTGTTCCCCTGTCTCCTGTTTCCCATGTCCGTGTCTTGATCCAGGACTGCTTGCTCGTTGTTGGAATCCTTGCTTGGAATTCTGGGGAGCGTCGATCCAGGGTTTTTTTTTTTTTTTTTTTTTTTTTTTTTTTTTTTTTCTGGCTTGTCGAGCTTTTCCTACCCTTTCCCTTTATCCTACCCCTCTCCGGTCTCCTGATTTTGTCCTCCCTCTTCTCTCCATTTAAAGCGTAGTTGTGTGCCTTTGATCTCTGCTACTGCCCCCTGACCCAATGTGCTCTGTTTAAATCTTTTAATTATCTCCCCTTCTTGCTCTGGTTTTTGCTCTGCCTGTTGTCTCGCCCTTTTCCACTGTGCATTGAGATGTGTTTCCACTGCCTTGAGGAGTAGTTCCCTGGCTTCCTCTTTATGCATTAGCGTTCCTTCCATAGTGGCCTGACATCTCCTCTTCCAAATGATCCACAAGCCATATTGCCTCAGTAGCTGAAAGATATGTCTCTGATAGGGTTGCATCCGTTTGGGTACYTCAGCCCCCAAAAGCCTAGCAATTYTTKACTCCGGAAAGGTAGTGTTCGCCACCTGTTTCCAGATTCCCCTGACTTGTTCCCACATCCCCTCCGCCTCTTTGCACTCCAGTAGACAGTGYACCACTGTTTCCGGAASTCCTTCTTGGCACACTCTGCACAGCTCAGCTTCCTCGCTCCTMTGATTGTGACTTCTTCTTTCGTTGAGCCAAACATTCACTGGCAGCGCCACATGCGCTATTAGCCATTGCATACTCCTCACTTGTCCCAGTCTTATTGATAGAATATTGACCCATGGTATGTCTACCATTTGGCTTCTGGGGACCCCCACTCTTTTCTCCCAGCGTTTGAGCAGAGTAGGTCCCGTAGACAGGGATCTGTTCCTCAACCTGTACCCTATTTTTGTGGTGTAGCGGAGAATATTGATTCTCCTTGCTACTCTCAATTGTCCCCCCCTAATGTTTCAGGCCCATTCCCCAGGATCTACCTTTAGCTCTTCAATTGGTACCGCTGAATTGTACACTGTAAATTCCGCCATCTCTATCACTCTTACCTTCCGCAACCCTTGTTTGAGAATATACAACGACGCTTTTGATGTCCTATCCAATTGGGACGTAGTATTGCGCGGCTGTATTATGTTGTATTTGTCTGCTACTAGCTCATAGTGATAGTAGAATACCCCTTTAATAGTTAATCTTGAGAGCTCTTTCAATGTATCAGTAGTTATCATTCTTGATAGAGTCTCTAAACTTCTGACTCATTCTCTTCTTTCTCAGTTCTTCAAGGATATCAAGGGCTCATAAGGCATACCTGTGATCAAGTCTGATCCTCTTCAATAAGTAAAGTCAGTCTCCCTCTCCACTCCAGTGTAGTACCTCATACATGAAGAGATGAGACCCAGTTAGCGACTGAAAATTCCCAATAAAGTAATGACTCACTCAAGATGTCAGAGTCAATCGGAAAATTCAGACATTGTCAACAGTTCTCAAATCCTAATCAAAGCTGAAAACTGTTGTTGACCCAGGCTCGTTCCTAACACGAAAAATTTTCATGTCCCCGACAACGGCGTCATTTTTGTCACACTTTTTCTAGTCGGACCTCTTCAGGCGACCAGAAAGCCAACAGGCTGTCACGCAGGATTTTGGATCATGTTTACAATAAATAAAATGAAATTAAATAGAGCAAATCCCTTCCTGTTACGCACGTCCGGCTTCGAGCGAGACCCTTCAATTGCGGTCTTCGCCGGTCCCCGGTCTTAGGAATCTTCTCTTTTGATTCGGAACAGCAAAGAATCATGCAAATAATAATCATAAAGTCTGATATGTCATGCATGCATCAATTTTGCCAATTTTCTAATATTGAGAACTGTGACATGACCATCTAGGCAAAAGCAATGTAGGTCATGCAAGACTGACTGACTCGAGCAAAGACAAGTGCGAGGCTGAAGCCCCGATGAGCCCCCTTTTAGGCCCTACCATGCAGCACGTCGGCCCCTAAGTGAAGGCAGGCTTGACGAGGGTCTGAGGGCCCTTATTTTGGTCACGACGCAACTCAGGAAATTCAGGCAGTTGCGCAACGCCAGTTGGTTAAAGGAACCCACACCCTGGGCAGCCTGTGTGAATGTATCGAAGGCAGGCCCTGGGTTGGATTCGGGATGTGGGCCTAACACAGACCGTTGACAGTTGGGCGCGAGCAACCACTACAGGCCCAGGGCCTGAGATGTGCGGACTGGGCCTCAGCCTACCGGGGCCTACCGAAAGCTTCTTGGGAAAGGCCCAGCGCAGCCTGGGACAGCAAGCAGGCAGGCCACTTCCATATAGCAAAGGGTCTGCCTCCGCATTGGGCATTCGGGTGCTGGCTGCATGTTGCGCAAGCGCTGCTGCACTAGAAGCTGGCAAGCGCTCACACGCTCATTGGCGAGCTGGAAGGAGCAGACAACCATAGCCAAGCTGCGCTGCTGTAGGCTAGGTGGGGCGCAGGGTGGTCCTTGGGTGCATGTGGTATTTGTGTGTTGGGGAACGAGGTTGTGAGTGAAGCGAGAGACATACCTGGTGCTGGAAGCGTGCGGCATTGGCCGTTATCTGCTCGTACTTCGGTGAAGTTATTGTCGTCATCTTCAGCATTGTAGTATACGCTAGATAGGATCTGCCATCTGTAGTCTGGGCGTCGAGCGCCAGATAGAATATCAACATTGGTTTTTCGGTGATGATGATGATGGGACTATTTCAACATTGTCAATTATGAACTTTTGGTGTACTCTTATTTGGTGAAACTCGTGATGCAATTCTGTTGTTGGTTCGAGGTCACAACTATCTGGTCTCTTATGTATGATGTTGTTTGATTGTTGAAGTTCGTTATTGCTCATCTTCCTTGCAATTTGGTATCGGAGTTGTGGTACGTTGCGCTCATATGGCGCTTGTCTTCTGCCTTATGCGGTACATACATGCGGTCTGCTTGGTGAGTGTGGCCGTAGGCAGTGTGTAGTGAGAAGGGCGGAGACAAGATTAGGCGACCCAGGAGGTGAGGGGATCGCCTGGAAGGCTACGGTGTGTATATCGGGTGTTCGCAGTGTGATGAGAACTACCTGGTGGTTGATTGATGCTGAAGTGGAACGGCGAGACAATGTTGGTTGTGCCGATGCAGTGACTGGTCATCGCAATCGCCATCAGGTCATCTAGGGAGAATATTTGTGGTTGGGGGCAACTATATTGAGGTACGTTGTTCTTAACCTTATCTACCCTCTTCATCACTTCTTACCGTGAGGTTGTGAGTTCCTTCTTGAGAGTCCTCTCATTGTGAGGAGTCGAGTGCGCTCAACCTTGAGAGTCGACATTGTTCTTGTGGAGCATCTGGAAGGAGAGGGCGGTGCTATCCTGGAAGGCCCGAACCTGGACGGAGAGCGGAGGATTTTTTCCAGTACCAAGGCCGGCGCCCACTGACGTAGCTCTTGGACTACATCTGAGATTTTAAACTTATATTTTTATGTTTAAAATTAATTTAATTGAGGTTGGAAGTGGTCGCGCGGCGTACGCGCCGCGAACCTAGCTATTGGTGTAGTATTTAAGGCAGTAGGTAGGAGAAAGTTTCCTCAATCTAAGCGGCGAATGAGTAGAAGGATTGGGATCCTCAATGGTGGGAAGTTGAGGAGATGCCGGGGAGATGGTGATTTCGCCATGGTATTAAAACTCATGTCACCTTCTTCTTCTTCATTGAGTACAATGTTGTGATTTCTGATGATCTAGAGCCCTATGCTCGACCTTGCCGTGGCCTGGGAACGTGCGTAGAGTGCCGACAACACTCTGGTGTAGTCGTGCATTTTTACTTTCATTTACTTTCATTTGCTATTTTACATTTTACATTTTACGTTTTATTTTACGTTTCATTTTACGTTCAGGTTATGATCATTGTATGGTCATTTTACGTTTGTTTTACGGGCATTTGACGTTTATCTTACGTTCATTTTCGTTGCCATTCTCATTCTCATTTTACTCCTATTTTTCATCTTCCCATTACCCTGGTGGTATCTGATTGGTCCGACGATATTTTTTGCGCACACCATAGGCCATCGATCCGGTGGTCTGGGAATAGTGTTGTCACGAAGCCACCTGGGCGACTGAGGTGATTGGCTTATACCACGGCGCTGTTGGTGGTGCTCATGTCAGGGATGTATGAGTAGCTGCATCTCTTCGATCCCCCTAGGATCAGGGGAGTGCGTGGTGACAGCTCTTCGCACCTTGCCAGTTGGGGAAGACTCACAGGAAGACCGAAGACTCCAAGCACGCGGAAGTGTCCTGCGCAGCGCATCGAGGAGGAGTTGGAAGTAAGTGTTGTATGGTGATCTGCATCAACTGGTGGGAAGTTACACTGCTGAGCACGGCGGAAGCAAAGTGGGTGATTGGACTAAGCGCGAGCTGTGGGATTGCTGCTGGCTTCACCATCGATCGCATGACTGGACGAGGACGTGGCAGTAAAGCAGGAGGTCGCCGCGGACGGTGGTCCAACGACGGTCGTTATTGGATGGAGAACATCGGAAGCGGGAGCGGCGGGCAGACTAACCCTGCCTCGTATAATGTGCCAGGTCCAGTCTACACGCCTGGTGTCAATCAGCACCTTTTTCGGGTACCATATCAGCAGTCGATCGCAACGCAGGCCGCCGCTCCTGTGCAACCAGTGATGACCGCTATGCCGGCTGCGCCGGTACAGTACCTGATGGCACAGCACGGACCAATTTCGCAACCATGGGGCATTCAACCATGGCAGATGCCTGGGCAGTGGCCGATCAACGGGCAGTGGGGTGTTCCATCCGCCAGTATGCCGCCCCCTGCGAACCTTCCTCCCGTCAACCAAACTGCATCACATCAGGCAGTGTCGAGTGGTCTGACCAATGCTCCAAACGGGAATACTCATAAAAGCCCGACGGCGAATGAATTTCTGGGACCAGGCAACAGAGCCTACTTTACGAAGGAATACATGGATATTCTTGAAGACATTAAGATTAACAAGGCTGTTGAGGAAGCGAAGAAGCGGCTATCAGGGAATCGTAGGATCGGTATACGCATTGGCGACTCCGCAGGGAGTCGATCGGACGTGCGTTCTGCCGAAAGAACGAAGTCATATAATAAGACCGACGAGATGAAAGCTTGGGTCACCACCACCTTCAGGAGCTCTCTCAAACTTATAATGGAGAAGCTTCAGGAAGTCGATCAGAAGGTGAAAGTGACCACTGCTGATAGAGACGAATTGGTGAGGCTGTGAGAGGAGAAAGCCGCGCTCGAGAAAGCTGCCACTGAGAAGGAGGCAGCAGAGAGTGAGGGGCGGGAATTGTCGAGTAGTGAGAAGCGGAAACGGGTGGGTGAACGGATGTCGGTTGGCAACTCACCGCGAATTAATCGAGTCAGATCGCGTGGGAGCAAGACTAAACCACGGACGAAACGCATTGATGTATCGTCTGACGACGAAGGTGACAAGGCTGGTATTGTTAAGCAGAATCTCCAAACAAAAATGGAGACAAGCAACGAACTGGCTGACATCAAGACCATGTTGGTTGCACTGCTCCAAGGGCTGGCAGATGCCAAAGGCAAAGCCCCCATCAGTGAGCACATACCAGCATCTGCACCGGAAGACGAAGTGCTGGGAGAGCATGAAGATGTTGATATCGTCCAAAACGCAACCAACAAAGACGACGAAGAAGAGAGTGATGAAGGCGGCCTCGCTGCCTACATGAAGATGAGGCAGGAATTCTACAGCTCCCTGCACTACACGCGCGTCCAAGAGCTGTGTAAACAAAAAAGCATCCCGTACTTCAAGAAGGATCTGGGAGCATGGGAATTGGCGAAGATTGACCTCCAAGAGTACACAGACATGCTGAAGGGGGAGAGGCCAGCTAACGCTCCGGAACCCTCTTCACACAAGATTGAAGCGCGGTCGACTGAAGGCGCTGAGAAGCCCTCCACGTCAGAGAATCCCGTCAAGGGAAACTGACCGGAGGTAGTGTATCTGATCGAAACGGCGAGCGTGCAACCGTATAGCACGATTAAAACCACTCGTTGACAGTTCATTGGCTCGCTTGCTGGAAAAGTTGCATGTACTTACAATTTTGAGTGCTTGTCTTGCTGAGGAAATCGCCTGGGGTCGGGTTTACCTTCGATTCTGGTTACGAATGGCACCTGATGAATGGGATCTGATGTTGGAAGGGCGTAGCTGCGTATATGTCCTCATGTCGTTGTCACATAGAGCAGTGTACGTGGGAAAAACCACTCGCACGTTAAGGGAGTGATGGTTGGAACACGTTAGGGCAACTAAGGGGATTAGTAAGCAAAAGGTGCACACCTGGATCAGTAAGACGGGGACGGGGCATTATGTCCCTATGCCCATCTGGTTTGGGGACGGGAACACGATCGACCATGTCGCGCAAGTCATTATCAAGGACTGTAACCCAGGGTTGAATGCTCGGGGCCGAAAAAGTCGAAAGTTGCAAAGGGTTAGGGGATCGAAGTCTCGCAGGCAGATTGGGTGCCAGCCATCCCAGGTAGTGGAACCGCTGTTTTTTAGTTGTCTCGAAGTCGGGGTGGTGAACGATCCAGGCCTGCTGAAGATTTTAAAGTTGGCCAGTAAAGGAAAAAGTAGGAAGCTGGTTGTCACGAATAAACCAGGTGGTAGATGGCTGAAGTCGTGGCGCCTTGTTGTTCTCCTGTTTGGTTTTTCCAAGGTAGAATGCCAAGGCCAGAAGCTACTGTTGAAGGATGCTAAATCATTCTTTGAAGAGGGTGGTGTAAATGTGGTCTACATTCTTGTTAGAACAGTTACAAAGATTGATTTGCTGAAACATGAGTTAATTGCTCTTTTGCGTGCCCCTTGGAAACGTCGTGACTTGTATAAATTATCGCTCGATGAGCTGATCGATCTGAACAATGCAGTGAAGACAGTGAACCAGCCAAGGGGACGGCAGGCGATTCATGGTATACTAACCACAGTATTGAAGAACAAGTTTGGTATTAACCCTCGTGCTAAAATACTGTGAAAATTCCTTTTTGTACCACGATTGAAAAAAAGAAGGTTGAGTCTGAGGTAAAGAAGTGGATTTTGGATTATGTCCAACCTACCAAACTCGGTGACTTCTATGCGAGGAGGACCAGGGCGGTCTGGTTGAAAGCCAGATCCGTTGCAGACCTCCTGCATAATCAGAAATCTTTCGCACAACAATCGTGCTTTGAATGCACCTGTGCTGATTTCAATCTGCCCAAGATCAACGGGCATGTGGCAATCAAACAGAGTGAGGTAGAAGGGTTACTTCCGTTCCTCTTCAACGCTAAGAACGTGCCCTTTCCAGACTCGACTGTTTCCAGGGAAGGGGTGAACCGAGCTTGTAATGAGGCTCTCGCCATGGGGGGACGTGCGGAGAATCAGTTTATGAGGAGCCTCGACTCGGACCAATTGCTAGTTATGGGAAAACGCTACATTGATGACCTTTTGATTGTATCGTTGTTTTGCAAGACTGAACCAGATGCAAGGGTTAAAGCCGAAAGAAGGCTCGACCGAGTAATGCACTGCTACCCGGAAGGTCTGATTTTGGAACGGACTGACCCGGGTATAGGCATTCTGGATTTTCCCGAGATGAGGCTGATTGTAAGTGACGAGAAGTGAATCGTGATGTCGCATAAGTTCAAGAACTCGGAGTCGATCTGGTCCTCCGAACCTCTGAGTTTCGAGACATACAAGAGTATCGTGTCGTATGGTCCAAGTACAGCGAAATTTGCCACGATCGCAAATACGTTTTTTCGGATCAAACAAAATTCGAACTGCGACGGAGTTGCGTGCCTCAACGTCCTCACGCTGTGTGAGGAGCTGAGAAAATGTAACTACCCAGTAAAAGTCGTGGTTGCTGGCCTGCGGTGGATGCAGCGCCGTGAAAAATCTCCCTTCTGGGTGGGGTTACTAAGTATTGTAAAACGATTGTTTCTGGGATGAAAAGGCTATAGAACCTATAGAACCTATATGGACTGGGGCCCTGAAGCACCAGACATGGCTTCCATACTGTGTCCGCACGTACCTGGGCATGTACCGGGACGGAAACGAGGTAGGGTCCAGAGCGCGTTTTATCGCGTAAGTAGCCTTGACAGGGGTAACCTATAATACGGCGGCAGTCGGGGGAGTGTGCTGACCAGACAATGCTGTTGAACTATGTCGACACGTACCTGAGCATGCACCGGGAGATGAGGGAGTGTTCAGAGCACGTTTTGTCAATGGATTCTACGTTTTTTGTTGGATCCTACTTCAGGGAGTCTGTAGATTTGGAACTCAGTCGGGCTGATGATTCCCGCTGGTCTGCAGCTAGGTACTCATTTTTTGGAATAACTACAGGAGGGAATAGATCCGGGATCTCTCCTGTGGGGACAGCCGTTTTGGTCACACATAATAAGGAATGGCCTCGGCGCACGGCTGTTTTGGACTTTTCTGACGGTATCGGTCTCGAGTCATTGACCCAGCGGGCAATGCTATCCTGGAAGGCCCGAACCTGGACGGAGAGCGGAGAATTTTTTTCAGTATCAGGGCCGGTGCCCACTGACGTAGCTCCTGCACTACATCTGAGATTTTGAACTTATATTTTTATGTTTAAAATTAATTTAATTGGGGTTGGAAGTGGTCGCGCCGCGAACCTAGGTATTGGTGTAGTTTCCTCAATTTGAGTGGCGAATGAGTAGAAGGATTGGGATCCTCGACGGTGGGAAGTTGAGGAGATGCCGGGGAGATGGTGATTTCGCCATGATATTAAAACTCATGTCACCTTCTTCTTCTTCATTAAGTACCATGTTGAGATTTCTGAAGCACTGGGTCACGGTCACCATGCCAACCCACCGGGAGTAGAGCATGCATGCTTTGCTGCCTTGTCCTTGTCTGCTTGCTGCGCTCATAGAAGGGGTACTGAAGGGCAGGCCAGCCCTATGGGAGAGACGAGCTATAATTTCTGATGTCACTTGGGGGCAGACGTTAAATTGCGTCTTGATCAACCAGTTGGTGTAAGGCTCGCTGCACGTGAGGGTAAACACTGTGCAGGGCTGGCCAGCTCAGCAGTTACTCGGGGCACAGGGGTGGGCCGTGTGCACACCTTTAGTCACGCACGCTATCGGATCGCTTAGGGACTCTGACGTCAAGTGACAATCAAGGGGAATTGGGGAAGGGGTAGATTCCAGGTGATAAGTTTGAGAAAGATGCCATGCTGTGAACAGACCCCACAAATGACATTATTTTTATTTTGATTAGTTAGATGTACAACCATTGACATCTGACAGACAGCATAGTTTAGAACTGTTCATTGTTCATTGTGCTTCTGTTTGCGGACTAATCAAAGTAGAGTAGTGTTATTTGTAGGAATCTGCACTTACCTGTCGGACCCAAATGTATCTACTCCGAATTAGCCACCAATTAATTATTTATTTATTTTAAATTGGTCTGGGCATTACGCTGTGGTCGGTACCTAGTGTAACCTAGTGCAGATTGTGCTCAGTGCTGTAGCTTATGAGCGATAGGGAGGAACAGCAACCAGACGACCGGATCCTGCGATCAGCAAGACGGCCAATTGCCCACTTGGCATTAGGACCAAAGGGCGACAGATACCTGTTCCGCCAGCGTAGGGAGAGGCTGCAGCAGCAGCAGAGAGCTAGGGACGCAGAAGCCAGCAGAGCTTTAGCAAGTGAAGTCGCTGCTTTAGTAGCCATGGCTAGCGCTGCTCAGCAAACCTCTCAGGCTGGGAGTTCAGGAACTGTAGGGTCAACTACGGCGCAGACCCAGAGTCAGTCGGTTGGCGTAATGGCAAGCCAGTCAAATGTGTTGTCACCCGAGGAGATCGCCATACAGCAGGCTGCCCTGCAAGAGGCACAACTGCAGAAGGCTTTAGGGGAGATAAAGGCAGAGAAAGAGAGAATGATTAGAAGAGTTGCCAGGATGCAGCGAAGAGAAGCGGACGTTAGGCAGTTAGAGGAAATGGATCTAACCAACATGGATGCGGATGTGAGGGTAGTACGGAGGGCCCTGCTAGGAGTCGTAGAGACGCAGAACCATCAGACCGCCATCCTCCAAGACATCTAGCCTGGCTGGTTGGAAGATTGCAGGCGGCTCCATTACCGTTAGGGCCTGGTGCCTGGCCCGTGGCACATCCTCCTCCTCCTGTCCCACCGGTTACTGGGGTATCCCCATATGTAGCCCCATCATCGGTCGCTATCGTTTCCCTGGGCATGCCRCTATCAGGAGGGTTATCAGCAGGACCTAGTGTCCAGATTCCTGTACAGACAGTGTTATCCCAACCTCCGTCGCAGGTTGCCATCAGTAGGCAATCTGTTGTCCCCCAACCTGTACAGCCGCAGGGGACACAGCCCTAACAGCAACAGGTGCAGCGGCCTGTTCCCCAGAGTCCACAGCTAAGTGTGGGACAGGTGCAGGGACAAACACAGTGGGTTCCAAAGACGACAATCGCTGCTCCTAACCCCTTTTCAGGGGATAAGAGGGGGGAAGACCTCGACACTTGGTTGAGGGCAGTGCCGGTCTATGTCAAGTGTAAGTTGACCTTGCCGCACGGGGAAGTGCTTGTGGCTGCTTCCTATCTAGAGGGAAGTGCAGCAAGATGGTTGAGTGGGTTAGTGCAACTACAGGGATACGGTCATGACTTCTGCACTTGGGCAGCCAGCCAAAAGTTGGATGACTTCCTCAAGCTGGTGGAGGAAAGGTGGCATGATCCTCAGGAGGCTCAAAAGGGCACTGACGCGATCCTGACTTTGAGCACTCGTCCGTTTAAGTCAGTTAGGGAGGCCACAGACGTAGTAGAGCTTCTGATCTGTGTCCCTGGGGTCCGCTATGACCCCCAAGTCTTACTGATGACTTACCTGAGGTGTCTGCCGATGCCAATCAGGAATCAGTTGGCAGTTGAGGCTAGCATCAATGTGCACAACTTTCCATCGTTCAGCAAGAAGGCCCTAGACCTAGAAGCGAAGATAGGGCATGGACATAACCCATCGACGGACGGTAGGAAAAAGACACTGCCTCCCAACTGGAAGGCGAAGGGGCGCATTATGTTTGTCGACAACGATGGTTCAACCATTGAGTTGGACGACGACACCCAGTTGGGAGTTGGTTTAGCGGCAGGCAGCGTAGAGGCTTCAGAGGGTGGAGTAGTCGCTACCGTAACACAACAAAAAGGTAAGGGGACCGGTAAACGCCGAGGAGGCTCCCGATCCAGGAGTCAAGTTGACCCCAATGCTCCTCCATGGGAGAAAGCGGGTCTCACAGAGGACGTGTGGAGAGACCGGTACACCAGATAAGCTTGTATTCATTGTGGTCAATATGGCCATAACCAATTCAAGTGCCGCAACAAGAAGGTTACCGAGAAGATCCCGCTTACTATGGGGCAGGCGGTAGGATCCTCCGCTTCCGTTGGTAGCAATTTTGCCAGTACTTTAGGCACTGCTCCGGGAAACACATCGGGCCAGTAGGAATAGTAGTTGTTCCTGCTAGGGTTGAGGTGGTGGACACACCCTCACCATTTCGAGAGATTGCCCAAGCTACTGACTCCCCCGTCGTCCCGCGAACACATTCAGACCCATCGACCCTCTGTTCGATGAATGTGTTTGAGTCCTTAGACGAGTTAGAGGAGCAGTGGTCTAAGTCAGACCCACTAGCTTCTTGGACGACACTAGTCAAAGCTCCTAAGGCTGAGATGTTCGTCAGTGAGGTAGTCATTGGCGGTCGTAAGACCGGGGCCTATTACGACACTTGCTCGACGAGGAATTTCATTAGTCCCGCGTGCGTTGAGAGGCTGCATTGACAGGGGCGAGTGCAGCGCCTGAGTCGACCTGTGGAGTCGACCTGTGCCAACAAACAACGCATGGTAGTTAATGACTACCTACAGGACGTTGAGTGCCTGTTCCCGTACGTGGGAGGGGAATTGAGGCATCGTGTCTCATTCCTAGTGAGCGACGATCTCCCCATGGACATATTGTTAGGTATGTACTACCTCTCGGTTGCACAGCCCCAGTTCGACTGGGATCGAAAAGTGGTCAAACACACTTTGCCAGGTGGAGGGACCGCCAAATTACGTAAGTTCAAAGCTAGTAGTCTGATCGAGTCCCACGGATGCATGTGTGCGGCCGCATTTTATAATTATTATAAGCAAAATCAGGAGGAGGGTATGTATCTAGTTTACGTCTCTTCTGCAGGCGAGCCGGTGAAAATACCCTGATCTATTTGAAGAGCCAACAGGGGTTGTTGAGAGGGAGGTCGTCCACGCTATAGAGACTATCCCAGGGTCTAGCATCCCAAAGGGTAGGATCTATAGGATGTCTCCGGGCGAGCTTGATGAGCTTCGCCGCCAACTCAAGGAACTCATAGAGAAGGGTTGGATCTCCCCTTGTGGGTCTCCAGTCTATTCGTTCCAAAGAAGGGAGGCACTTTGAGGATGTGCATTGATTATAGGGGCCTCAATGCCATCACAGTGAAGAACAGGGAGCCCCTACCGCGCATCGACGATTTGCTTGATAGAGTGCAAAGGTGTCGGTACTTCAGTAAGATAGATCTGAAGTCCGGGTACCATCAGATTGCAATTCGGCCTGAGGATCAGCACAAAACCACCTTTTGTGGTGATGCCATTTGGCCTGTGCAATGCTCCTGGCACCTTTCAGCACGCTACGAATCGGATCTTTCATGACTACTTAGACAAGTTTGTTATCGCGTACCTTGATGACATACTTGTCTTTAGTAGGACCGTCGAGGAGCACGTGGCACATCTAGATAAAGTCCTCAGTCTCCTTCGTCAGCACAAGTTCAAGAGTAACGGTGAGAAGTGCGAATTTGGCCGCACCCGTATCTTGTACTTGGGTCATGAGATTTATGCGGAAGGGTTGAAGCCCGATGACGCGAAGGTGGCCAGCATTCGTGATTGGCCACGTCCTCAGTCTGTGACTGAGATGAGATCTTTCTTAGGGATGACAAGCTACTATAGGACTTTCTTTAAGAACTATAACATAGTGGCCGCCCCTTTGACTGATCTGACCCGCCTTGACACCCCATGGGAGTGGACAGACAAGTGCGAGGCTGCTTTCAGACATCTGAAGCATGCGTTGACGCACTATGAGGTCTTGAAACTTCCCGATCCTAACAAGCCATTTGTAGTTACCACGGATGCCAGCCAATATGGCATTGGCGCCGTGCTTGCGCAGCAGGAGGGGCCAAAGTTGAGGCCAGTCGAGTACGTCCAAGAAAATGCCGTCTCAGAAGTTGGCAAAGTCCACCTATGAGAAGGAACTCTATGCGGTGTACAAGGCTCTAACCCATTGGAGGCACTATCTCCTTGGGAGGTTCTTCATCCTCAGGACTGATCATCATACCTTGAGATGGATGAGAACACAACCGGTGCTTTCTGACGCTCTAAAGCATTGGATCGAAGTCACTGAGCAGTATGACTTTGACCTGCAGTATCTGAAAGGGGAGTACAACAAGGTTGTTGATGCCTTGTCGCGTAGACCTGATTTCTCAGGTGCGCTGATAACTGAGTTCGATCTAACAAACGATGTAACTCGCTCTTTGGTGGAAGCCTATCGCAAGGACCAGTTTATGTCTGAGATCATACGCAGACTAAGGACAAAAAAACTTCTACCGAGTTTGAGTTGGTCAACGGTTGCTGTTTTTTGAGAAGGCAGGGAATAAACGATTGTGTGCGTAGTTTGTTTTTAGGCGAGTGCCATGATGCCACCGGCCATTTTGGGTACAAGAAGACCGCAGCCAATCTGTTGCAGCAGTTCTGGTGGCCCACGATGATGCGAGATGCCCAGCTGTATGTGGAGACATGTCAGGTCTGTCAGAGGGACAAGCCACGTACTCAGGCTCCTCTTGGGCTCCTGAATCCCCTTCCGATTCCGGAAAGGCCTGGTGAGAGTCTGTCCATGGACTTGGTCACCAGCAAGAGCGGGATGCGACACATCTTCGTCATCGTGGATAGATTTAGTAAGTATGCTAGGTTAGTAGCCATGCCGGAGACTTCGAAAACTGAGTACGTAATCATATTATTTAAAGAGAGTTAGGTCAGAGATTTTGGTTTGCCCAAATCCATAGTGAGTGACAGGGATGTCCGATTCACTAGTGAGTTGTGGAAGGCTGCTGCTGCGGAGCAGGGAACCCAGTTGCAGATGACTTTTGGGAACCACCCAGAGGCCAATGACCAGGCCGAGCAACTGAACTGCGTTGTACAACACCTGTTGAGGCATTACATCAAGCCCAACCAGGTGGACTGGGATGAGAAGCTTGCTCTCATCGCCAGCCTGTACAACAACGTTGTACACAGTGCTACCGGAGTGAGCCCACACAACTTACTGTTGACTTTCAAGCCTAGACTGCCCTTAGACTTCCTTCTTCCTGAGAATCAGTCAACTGCTGCACCAGGTACCTTAGAATTTGCCTATCGGTATGAAAAAAATTTGCAGCAGGCAGTAGAACAAATGCAGAAGGCACATGATAGAGTCTGAGAATAAACACCGCCGCCCTTCTACGTTTCAGGTTGGGGACAGAGTCTGGGTAAAGTCCTCATAACTGGGACAGGAGTACGGGATTTCCCGCAAACTTATGCCTCAGTACCTTGGGCCTTGGGAAATCTTAGACGTTGTTGGGACTGATCCGGATGGGCCATCTTATGTAGTCCGGATCCCTGGTCATCTTCGCACTTACCCTGTCTTTCACGCCTCCAAACTTGCACCTTTCAAGGAAACAGATGAGTTTCCTTCTCGTCGCTCAATGCTGCCCCCAACCATGGATGGAGAAGTGGACATTGATGACATAGTGGATCACAGGGAGCTGCCAGTTCCGAGAACCACAGGCAGGGAACGTCCTTCGAAGCCGAAGCTGCAGTACCGCGTTCGGTTCCGACATCATACTGATCCAAAGGAGGACCGCTGGTTCACCCGTGAGGAACTCATGCAGACCGCTCCTCAAGCCGTAGCACATTACGAGAAATCTTTGCAGAAGGGAAAGCGCCAGGTTATTGAAGCTTGAACTTCTCAGAGGACTATCGAAGTTATGGAGGAGGGAATGCGAGGCTGAAGCCCCGATGAGCCCCCTTTCAGGCCCTACCATGCAGCACGTCGGCCGCCCTAAGTGAAGGCAGGCTCGACGAGGGCCTGAGGGCCCTTATTTTGGTCACCACGCAACTCAGGAAATTCAGGCAGTTGCGCAGCGCCAGTTGGTTGAAGGAACCCACACCCTGGGCAGTCTGTGTTGGATCGAAGGCAGGCCCTGGCTTGGATTCGGGATGTGGGCCTAACACAGGCCGTTGACAGTTGGGCGCGAGCAACCACTACAGGCCCAGGGCCTAAGATGTGCGGACCTACCGGAAGCTTCTTGGGAAAGGCCCAGTGCAGCCTGGGACAGCAAGCAGGTAGGCCACTTCCATATAGCAAAGGGCCTGCCTCCGCATTGGGCATTCGGGTGCTGGTTGCATGCTGCTCTAGAAGCTGGCCAGCGCTCACGCGCTCACAGGCGAGCTGGAAGGCGCAAGCAGCCATAGCCAAGCTGCGCTGCTGTAGGCTAGGTGGGGCACAGGGTGGTCCTTGGGTGCATGTGGCATCTGTGTGTTGGGAAACGAGGTTGTGAGTGAAGCGAGAGACATACCTGGTGCTGCCGCTATCTGCTCGTACTTCGGTTAAGTTGTTGTCGTCATCTTCAACATTGTAGTATAGGCTAGATAGGATCTGCTATCTGTAGTCTGGGCGCCGAGCACCAGATATAATATCAACATTGGTTCTTCGTTGATGATGATGATGGGACTATTTCAACATTGTCAATTATGAACTCTTGGTGTGCTCTTATTTGGTGAAACTCGTGATGCAATTCTGTTGTTGGTTCGAGGTCACGACTATCTAGTCTCTTATGATGTTGTTTGATTGTTGAAGTTCGCTATTGCTCATCTTCCTTGCACAAGGTTAAATTAGGGAAAAATGAGAACTCTCGATAATCTCAGAGAGTGCACATAGAGAGAGCTTGGCCAAAACTAATCACGAGTCCTCACTCATCCCTCTGAACCTCACACTCAATCTCTCATTTTGTTGTATGTCTCTTGTGCTTCGAGCCAAGTCTCTGTACCTTCTGAGGTTGTGGTCTCTCGATGTAGAGCCACCTGAAGCCTGCTAGTTCGGAGCATTTCCATCCAAGTAACATGACATGGAAGTCAAACATAGCACAAAACTCCTCCCATAGAGTAGGAAGGTATGGTTGAGAGAAAATCCCTCGTATGAGATGTCGAAACTCGGATGGCTCAGTGACCACCGCGTAGTCAATCACTGCAGGAGAAATGTACCTCCTGGCCAGATCTACCAGTTCACCCCAATAAGAACCATCGGTGAGAGTAAAAGGAACTGGAGGCTTGGGGTAATCTGTGTAGAGCTTTGGTCCAAAACTACAGATCAGCTTGGTACCATTCTCATCAAATTCTCTCTCTTTCTCTTCAAGGTACCTGACTGCCGGGATCCAGACCGAGTCGCAATGCTCATGGGTTCCCTTACCCTTCTTCAAATGAACTCTCAGGTCATGAATGGTACCTCTTGCAAACTCAGTACGGACAACAAAGATTGACAGGTCTTCTCGTCTGAAACCCACTACACTGACATATTGATATTGGAAGGCCTCCTTGAGACCAATCTGATTGAGGCTGGCCAAAACTGTTCCACTTACAAGAAATGACTGAACTGTACTCATGTGTTGCAGTGGCTATAAAGGCTGACCCAATGTCTTTGTGGGAAAACGCTGCTCGTCTGAAAACTGATCTTTTGAGACAAGCAAAGATGATCGAGTGCTGATTGACATATGGTTGAACGGTCCTGGGATAATAGATCATTGAACACCGGTCACATAGTGGCGGAATGCTAAAAAAAAGTTACTGATCGTTGGTTGTTATTCGCAGTTTGAAATGCTGATTGTGAAACTTCAGTATCTTTGTGCTCACTTGAGTTTTGCCCGGACTTGCTCCACTGTTTCTAGGAATGAGCCGGTGCTGTTTAGCTTACCGTCATAGCCGTAAAAGTAGGACACATATTCTATATACCTCTCTTCCTTGACTCTCCGGACTGCATGTTCTCGATCAGTCTGACTATGAGAATCCATGTCTCGGCATGCCTCTTCTTCCCATCCTTCTACTCCATCTCGGTAATTGGCGTAGGACATCACCAGGGTATCACTGCTTTGCATGATTCCCGAGGAAAGAAAACGGAAGTCCTGCTAGTCATAGCGTTAGTGTAAAGTAGGGTTTGTTAGGTTCCGACTGTTTTGTTGTAGTTGAACACTGCTAAGATTTTCCGTCTGGGCCGTTTGCCCGCTGCATGTCCTCAACCAATAAGAACCAAGGTTACACAGCTTTCGTTTGCTTACTGTATGTGCGTTCCAGATCATTGACCTCGCCTCCGCCTTGTCTCACTCTGCTTGTGTGCAGCACACGGGCGTCACTGGTACTAGCGCACAAGTTAAATCGTGGCTTGGTCAGTGAATCTCTACCCTGCTGTAACATAGAGTGTCGCCTACTGCCGCTTGTATTGAGTCGTGACACTGGATATCTCGGGCAGCAGGACTGAATTTGATGGAATGCAAGATGCTTTGCAGTGTCATTCACTAGGGAGCGAGCATACCTTTCTTTCTGGAGCTCATGCCCTGATCTCGATAACAGACTGGAATGACGAAATCGTATAAATAACCCTTACAGTCTTGATTTTAATGATGACCCGCACGCTCGATTGATATTTTTTCCTCATGTCATACGAAAACTCTCCTGTTTGTTTCGTTCTCTTTCGTCCTATCACGTAAGTTAGCTACAAAATGTTTTCCTTCGCTTCCCCTCCCCTACTCTTCAGGTCTCCCCTAGTCTGTCCATTTGAGTTAAGACGTCTATGACTGTGAGGATCAGGGGTGGTTGTTCTGCAATCTGCGATCTCTAGTAATCGTTAGTTGTCGGGGCAGCCGGGGGAACATGCAGTAATTGACTCGCACTACAATCTGCATTGTGCCAACCCTTTTACAACTTAAGGCATGCGCTCCCATGAGCCGTATGCCTCAAATAACTCAGATAACGCCTGCCTCCTTACAACAGATAGTAGTCCATACAGGACAGGGCCTTCCTGATCAGATGACGACGATCAGAGGAATCAACCACATATAAACTTTAACGTTGACCCAATGACTATCTGTTCTTAAAATAGTATACAGACCCCCCTTCTCTCAAGGCGTCAGTGTTGGCTAGGAGTAGGCCACGTCCTGAACGGTGAATGAGCACGAGCAGCTTCAAATACCATACCATCAGGATTACGGTATGCTCAGATGTAGAAGGGTACTTTGAAACCTGGACAAGGCCAGCACTGGGATTTCTCACACGTAACAACACTTCGTCTTATCAAGCACCCTAAACACACTTGCCTTAGCTGTATGACCTATCCATATTCTGCATACCATAACAAGGCTTAACCCTGATCATTCTTATTAAGGGAGCTCAAGGCATTTGATCTAATCAAACCCAGTTCATTGGGTTTGCTTGCAAGGTTACTCTGTACTCGGCGTTACGGCCGCGAGCGTGAGTTTGTTCTCGCTCGAGACCGCGTATGCATTAAGATATCCACATGTAAAGTGCGGTCTATGATTAACACGAGTCGAGACCTTAGGCATATTGCGTGAACCCTGTCCGCATTCTGCACAACATAGTGTCAAGCAAGACCGATGCATGCGCACAACACAGGTGAGTTACTGATGGTAATCCCGGTAGCTTATGACGTCTGGGTTCAGTCGAGAGCTTTTCCCAATCTCACATACAGCGCAGAAGCCCCCCATTGAGCATCTCATGTCTGCTCATTGCCATGGGATACGAAAGGGTTAACACACACTTGTCCGTATGCCAAGCAGGACAAGGTCCTTTTGTCACCATCAAATAGTAATTTAACTGGGAGGTAAGCAACTCTTCGTAATATCTTCGTCTTCCCCATCAACAGGATAGAGTAACGCGGACAAGTATCAACCCACTAAACTCTCAGATCCGGTCACCAAAGTTGAGTTTCTTATTGGTTCTGCTCACAGTCGGCTATGGCACTCGCTTAATCATGTAAGGGCTGCTCCCTTCGACTTTCTAAAAGCCAGCAATGACGTGCATAACCATAGCCAAAGGTTTCATTTCCTGCAACCTATCAACCAAAACCTGCCAGCTTCCCCAGTAATTATTGAGCAATAAAAGAAAGAAAGGCGGTACTCAGAAGAAAGGGGCTCAGAGGAGTGAAAACTCGGCTGCTGAAAGTAATTTTCATGACTAAATGCCCTTACGATATCACTTTTGGTCTCATCTAGCAGGAATCTCTCCGAGTCAACAATCATAGGCTTTATGGGTAGGATGGTGGGTGCAGCACAAGCGAGTGAGTACAGTAAGTTATAGGTCGACTAACTCAATTACGAATTCCAATAGATCACGAAAGTGTCTGTGAGCCTACGGACGCCATAGCCCCTTGACCTTACTGATCACAGGAATACACACACCAAGCAAGGTGACATAACTTTATCAGACACTGGTATTCGTTAAAACTTCAGTGAGTGATACCATCAGACTCGAGTTCACGCATTACCCCAGAAATTCCCTGATAGCCTTGTAACATAAACAACTCATCAAACCGTGCAAACTCACATTACACCTCAACAGATGACGTCAACAATAAACGAGGAGTGGGACTGTTCGATGAGTGCATGAGCGAAGGAATTGCTAATTGATACTTCACCCATAATGTTGGCAAAGATGTTTGCAACGACGACACCAGGTTTGTAACTATCCCGTGTTACTCGCTCAATGGGCATTCTATGCAAGATTCATCTGATCGTGTAGTACTCGCTTCGCAACTTTCACATTCACATGAACAATGACTGAAGTGCTTCAAACACGTACATAGCCTAAATCTCTAACTCTCCCGCTGATCAGCGAGTCAAACAGGCATCTCGACATGCATCCTTCCCATAGCAATACCTGATAAAACCATGCTCTGAGTCGAAGTTTAATTGAAACTTTCACCTGGCTAGTCACGCATCTCGCGTCACCCCAAAGAGTCACAAGGGAGCTCTTTCCCTCTGATCATTGTCATTAAACAACAGCTCGACTAATCTTGGATATTGCATGAGAGACGACCGCCTGTAAGTCCTAGGGTGTAACTCCTACCAATTCCTGCTTCATTCACAATATCCCCAGTCACTAACCATACCACATCGAGAATACCACTGCGAAATCAGATCGACTCATAGAATGGGAGTGGCAAGGATTATGGCTCAAGAACCACTAGAGTAAGAACTAGTAGGGACTACGAGCTTTGCGGTTGAGCCGTTTGCACAAGGCATGACAAGAAGCGTTAGTCCATTCTTCCCTTCGTATACCTTATTGGTGTTGTCCCGCCTACTTACTCTCTTTGATCGCATCGGGACTAAGGGGGTAATACCATGGACGAAGCCAAAATCAAGCGACGCGTCACGCCTGTTTCATCCATCCCCATGAGAAACACTAATCCCATAATCAGTCGCCCAAGAGTATGCAAACTAGCCGAACCATTCAAGGGCGGATCGCCGAAAGCTCTAGCAGAAGCTCTCTCTCTCTCTCTCTTTCGTGCATCACTTGGCGTTGTCGTAGTATGACTATCACCAGTCGCGCGACTATCTTGGCACGCGCAAAATCGTCCCTCTATTTCCGACAGTGATTAGTGATTGAGCAGCAGACTGCATAGATGCAGGCGAAGTCTAGAGGGCGATCGAGCACCGAACACGCCTTAACGTGATCGCCAAGTACACATGACTTCTCCCTCCTTTCTCTCCCATGCGTGCCACTCACTCACGTGTGTACACACCTCTTCGTTGGTCTCTTCACAACACAATACCACACTAATCACACGTAGACAGCACAAGGCACGCCCACAAAGTCCTCGTCTGCGCACTCTGAGAGGCCATGATGACGACCACGAACCTATGCACATGTATTTATGTGTCTCGACTATGGTGAGAGTAAGATATGAGGTGACCGCCAGCACGCGACGTTTTGTCCCAAGACGTCAGCAAGAAAGATGGACGATTCCGTTCCCAGAGTGTCTGACCTCGTCTAGATTCCCTCTCTCCCTCTACCATGTACATGCTAAGGCTAGAGCATCGTCACGCTGACCACACAGGGACCGCCAAGGTTAGAGACGAAGACTGCCCAAGCAGCGCGCAAATCAAGTAAAGAAACAGCTGGCGTCGATTGAGTCAACCTGCCACCATAGCGTTCACGCGTCACGCACAACTCTTCTCTCTCCCAATCATGTGTGAAGCCCCTTGAAAACTGCCCACTCCCGGTCGCTTTCTCACAACCACCCAGCGGGCTTGGTCTCGTCGTCACCTCAAGTTCCCCTTTTTAGCTTTCTGCGCGTGGGAGTCAACGTTGACGTCAGCACCCTGAGCATTCTTTGCACTTGCACATGCCCCCTGTCTAGTCTCTCTTGCGTGCATGAATAGTCCATCGTGCCTCTGTCACTGTAATCATCTTCGCGCGCTCAATCCCTCCGCTGGGCCGAACTGGCCTCTGGCCCGTCCTCTACCGACTCGGCCGGCGGATGCTCCCTCCTCCACTGTTCCAGTCCGTGCCAGGACTGCGTCTGCGCGTCGCTGGCTTCAGACTCGGCCTCTGAGTCTCGGTCCAGCTCCTGCTGCTCCCACTCAGTCGTGATCGTGGAGGTCTCTTCCTCGTGATAAGTGACAGTAACCTTCAGGGCTGCAGTCACTCCATCCCTCCTGCACCTCCGCTCGGCTCGGTTGTGAGCCTCTGTGACTACCCCCTGTACTTTCTCATCCTCCCTCATCTCCTGTTCTTTCCCTCCGTAGACATTTATCTTTAACCTTGCCTGCCCGTCACTTTTACTATAGCTCAGGCAGGCGTCCACTGTAGCCCCCTCTTCGCGCATAGGCTCCCAGCTCCAGTAGAACCTCAAGTGCCCTGCCTATAGCCAAAAAGGCCATTGCTACGCGCCATAGCCGCTCCTCAATTGAAAGACCGTGCACAGTGTTAGGCTACCGGCTCCAGAATTGCCAAAACCGGGTACAGGGCCCATGCGTACGCAGACGAAATCACTCGCTCACTTCGCCGCCCGGTCCTCCTTCTTTGGCTCACCCGTACTCAGCGCAACGGGATTGCCTGTACCCGAGTAGCCAATAACACAACTCCCTTCTCTTTTATAGGACCTCTACCTACCGCGATCCCCGTGTTCTGAATGAGGGATTTAATTCGGCCAACATTTAAGTTATGAACATTAATAATTAGATCTTAGAAAAATGAGTAAGAGATAAAATATAATTTAGAGGAAGAAAGAAGATAAAAGACCACACCCCAACGGTCATATTATGAGCAGAACTCTCTGCCGTCCATGGCAGCCCCTTCGTTTCTGAGTGACATATTTGCTGGTGCGGCAGTCCCATAGCGGAATGCCGCCCAACACTTCACTTCCTTCATAGGGCACTTACGGGATACCGCTAATGGGTACCCGTATCCGATGGTAAGGAGGGGGCCTATGACCTCCCACCTGGGGGGGTGATAGGCTTCCTACCGAAGCGGCCACGGATTACCCCTCTTTTGGGGTCTCACCGGGCGGCGCTCAGCCAAACAGGTCAGTCACAATGCGATACTTGAAGGGTGGGGTTAGTCCAGACCACCAGACTTCAATCGAAGTTCGAAAATGAAACGTAAAAAAAAATCAGAGGCAGAGAAAGAAAAAATAAAATACAAGAAGGAAAGATACGTACCGCCGCTAGATCTTTCCAGTTAACAAAAACCATAATTCGATAAATGCATTTTTAGTCTCTCCTTTTTCCTTCTTTTTATTTTCTTTCCGGAGCTTTCTCCCCCCTTTTCTTTTAATAGTGACCATCGCTTCTGCACCTACCCCAGAACTCGACTATAGGGGCCCGACGTGCAGTTGGGAAAAACAGATCGACTATCACTATCCCTCTTCTGCACTTAGCCCAGATCATGACCATTGGGGCCCAACGCGCGGCTAACCGTGCTACCCCTTTTCTAACACGTTAGGCAACCCCGACGGTCACTTCAGGTACGGGGCGGCACACTGTAAGGCAGGGTACTGAACCTACGCAGTACCATTGGAAAGCCCAGTATCTGGGCCTGTCAGTTCCACACGACCCTGTGGACTGGTACTGGGCTTACAGCGGTAAGTGAGCGGATGGACTGGTACGCAGCGGAGGGCGGGGACACCGCGCCCTCCGACAACGGGCCGCGCGGGGAGTGGAAACACTTTCCCTTGGTTTCCAGAAACCGCTGCGCACGCCTGTGGGATTCCGTGGACCACATTTTGGAACTCTTCGCCGCTGTGGGGTCCCTCTCTAAGATTCTTGTGTTCCTATCTCAACTTTCAAAAATCTCCAAAAAATTTGGATCTCCCCCTTTGCAAGTCGAAACCTTAAGGACACAGCTCTCACCTGAGACAAAAGAGAGTATGAATTTCATTCACGTTGCAGGAACTTTTCACTCTGCATGGTTTGCTTCTTCTTATATTCTGCAAATTGAAGGTTGGCTTCACGAGTTGTTTAATAATGCAAAGTGATTGAAAGACAGAAGAAGGGAGGACTTGTCAGACCCAAGTATGACTTCAGTGACATATGAAGAAGAGCGAGTTTACTGCTGGTCCAGATTTGTTCCACCTTAAGCCTGGTCCAGACTCGTTCCACCCCAAGCCTGCCCGTTCACCCACCCACCCAAGCTTTTGATAGAAGCATTTCTTTCTCTATCCCATAAAAGTTTACATTTGGCATTTGCATATGAGTTGCAATTTGTTATTCTTCTCCTTGATGATGATGACCTGACATAAAGCGTTTTGCTGGGCTGGGGATTCTTTGCTCATTACTAAGAGCTTTCTCATTCTACACCACCCATCCATGCCCATGACAAGGGAATGCAGCTGGGGGCCAGCGAGGCAAGGATCTTACGAGTGGCAACAGTGCTGCCAGTCTCAGGAGTGCAGCCAGCAGTCGCAACGGCAAACCCAAGAAGGACGGCGAGATGAACAGAGACGACAGGCCTGTCAAACTGGAGATCATGGTGGAAATCGAAGAAGGACAACTAGGCCAGATTGCATTCCGTGAAGGTGACTCGCCTAGAGCCCTTGCAGAGAAGTTCTGCAAGAAGCATGGACTTGACTCCAATGTGATTGAGCCACTGTCGGAGCACATCAGGACAAGCATCAACCAGATTCAGTAAGTCTATCTAACATTCTCCCGTGGACCATCTTCAAACCTCTGACGACTCTTAGTATTGTGAAGGACCAGGAACGTAGCATATCACCAACTGCCTTTTCAAAAAGAAGAGGAACGTCCCCAAAACATCAAGCCTCCCATAAATGCTCCACTGTGCTGTGAGGTTGAATGGTAGATAGTAACCAACATTAGCATAGTGATAAAAAGACCCTATACTAAACGTGTTGAACGATGCTTCCCATCTTTTCAAGGAAAAGCTAGACGTTGCCCCCAAATGTTTCATTGAAGTCTTGTAGATGCTACTCGAGCCTCCCTCCTTACTTCTCTGATTAGGCTGCATAGTTCAAGTACAGGTCCACTGAGTAATTCGGATATGTGCAGTACCAAATGGTTGAGTAATTGCCAGGGTTGAATGCTCAGGATGGTGATTGAAAAATGTGTTGAGTACTTCGAGTGTGGGTGCTGAACTGGATTGCATAAATTGAGCTTGGGAATTATGGAAAACGCTTGAGTAACACGCACATTCTGTGTGCGAGGATATTCGCCCTCAGCATGCCTGCATAGGGCCCCCGCTGCAAGCATCTGGCCCGCCCTAAGTAAAGGCGGGCCCCGTATCTCAAAGAGGCCAGAATATTGCAAACTCGACAGCCCTGGTGGGCGCCAGACAGTTATCATGCGCCAGTTGGTTGCATATTCCCTGCTCACAAGCATCAGATTCTTTTGTGAGCCTTCTAGACTCTTCTATTCTGGACTTGGAAGCTGGCCTCTGGGCCTATCCGGAAGCAGGGAACACCTCAGGTCAGTGTGTGGTGGTTGGGCGCGCCTAACCAATTCGGTCCCAGGCCACTGTCTGAATGGGCCTGGGCACAGACTCTTTGGCCCAACCTGAAGCTAGAGGGCACACACACGTCCAGCTCCAGGCTGCAAAGAGCCTGGCTGCTTTCCATATAGGAAAGAGCCAGGCCGAGGGCAGGGTATTCGGGGACTTGCTGGCCGAGCAGCAGCGCTGCTGTATTGAGCGCTCATAGCCGTTGACAGGAGGTGCATGGGCGCACACGGGCACTGGAAGGGGAGCGCTGCTTGTGGGCAGCGGCGCCAAGCCATCCATAGCTGCCATAGCTGGGGCTTGGGCACAGATGCTGGTGGAGGTGGTGGTGGTCCTTGGGGGAGAAGGAGCATGGAGAAGACGAGGGTGAGCAAAGAATGTGCCAGTGGAGCAGATGATGTGAGAGCACGCACCTGGTCCTGGCGGAGGTCTGCATGGTCGACAACTGCATGTACTTCGGTTGCTCCTGCTGATGTCAACTGTTTTTTTTGTCATTTCGATAGGCTAGAGTAGTGGCTGTGTGATTGTAGTCTTCCCTGAGCGCTGGTAGGAAGAAGAACTTTGAGTACATTGTTGATGGTGGCGAGAGAGGTCTTTCATTGGCAATTGAGTTTGCGGCTTTGGTTCTCCTTCCATGTGATATCTGTGCATTTCTGCCTTCTGGACAGCTTACAACTGTCTGGCTTTCAATGTGATTTTGCAATTTGGAATTCTGTCAATTCGCTATTGCTCATTTTCCTTGCAATTTGCTAACGGAGCTGGTTTGAGCCGCTCCGCTGGCTCTATTGGTGATTCGGTGCCGCGCCGTGTGGCTGTGCGGCAGTGTGATTAGGCAATGGCGCTGGTTTGAGGAGGAGGCCCGGTGTCGAGAGGGCACTCCGGGAAGGCTATGTGGTGACATAGGGGTGCACGCTGGATGATGAGAGCATGCTGATGTGTCATTTAAGCCGAGGTGGAACTCGATTATATTGTGGGTTGTGCCGAGGCACGGACCGGTCATCATAAATGCACATCAGGTTTACTGGTGAGAATCTGTGGTTGGAGGCAGTATAATGAGGCACATTGCTCCTTACCTTATCTACCCTTGTCGTTAACGTGAGGAAGTGAGTCTTGGTCTTCAGAGTCCTCTCATTGTGAGGTGTTATTTGCGGTCAACCTTGAGAGTCAACATTCTTCCTGGGGAGCATGCTGGTGGGAGACAGGCGTTGCCTCTGAAGGGCCCTGGATGAAGCACTTGGGTCACGGTTACCATGCCAACCCACTGGGAGTAGAGTCGCATGCTTTGCTGCTTTGTCCTTCAGTCTGCTATGCTGCGCTATAGAGGTTGTGTTAGGGAGGCCAGTCCTATGGGGGATAGACGAGTACCGGACTGTCTATAAAGAGACTCCAGCGGGGATAATCTACTCGCACTGTACACGAGTGTAAAGTAGTACGGACGGACGGGACTGGCCGGTTTGACATTGACTTGGGCCACAAGGGTGGGCAGTGTGCTCACCTTTAGACATGCTGCTCAATCAGAGCTTTCAGGACGTCGACACAAAGTGACACTCAAGAAGGATTGAGGGGGAGGGTTGATTCCAGTTAACTGCTCGATTGGCTAATGTTGTCTTATTCCCATTCAGCATGCATTCCAGCTAACAATTTTATTTCTATTTTTGATTAGTTTGTTACGATCCTGGTCATTTCCCAAGTGCAAATTCACAATGAAAGACAATGCCACCCAATTGCAAAAGAAATGAAAGCACTTGCAAAGAGATAAAGACCAGAACAGAGGGAAAGAAGAAGAAGAAGAAGAAGAAGAAGAAGAAGATGTACACCAGCAAGACCAATGACAATTCCCCCCTTCTCTCTCCACCTTCCTCCTCCTCCTTCTCTTCACCAATCTTATTCTTCTCTCAATAATAATAATAATAACAATGAATGGATGAACCAGAATCAATATCCGAAGTTCCCTCTTACTGCTGACTCAACTCAACAACACAACAACAACAACCAGTCCACCATAGCTAYGGCTTCCCTCCTTCAGCCTCCTCTCTCATGCATAKGCTATGGCGGACTRCCCCAAGCAGCTAGGGTGCTGTGCTGATGTCCGAAGGACAACYCAAGCAGCTATGGTGCTGYGCTGATGCCCAAAGGACCACTCRAAGCAGCTATGCCGCTGCTGACTTGGTCCGYTATGCCTGACTCTRCCTCGAGCTTCCCTGGTGCCGCATTAMCCCAACTGGGGCCTTCCAGATGCAGCGCCCAACAAGGTGATGAAGATGGTGCCTACCATAGCCAGGTMAGTGCCCCGCCACTCTCCTACTATGCCCCCTTCTTCCTCCTCCTCAAGCTGGAGTGCTCGCCATAGCCAGGCTGAGCTCCAGCGACCCTTCACCTCCAAGCAGCGCTGCACCAGTCCAGCGCTGCGCTCCACCAGCATGTYGCCAATCCTTGCACACCGCAAATGAGGAAGAGCTCTTTGCTCTTCCTGAAGATATAGCGGCCTACCGGCCTCCTGGGCGGTGACTTCCTAGGCCTAGCGGCCTCCCAGCAACCGGTACCTCCTCCCTTTCGGAGGGAAACATCATTGCAGGCTCTGCTAWYCTCCSCACARGCCCTASACCCGGGCTACTTGGACTGGTACCGACCTACCTCTAACCTACCGCTACTGGGCCTCTAAAAATGCCAACTTTTTCTCTTCTTCTGCTCGGCCTCCAGTACCCAACACTTCTACCACTACTTCAGTGGTACCGGCCTACCTGCTACTTGAGTGTTTTTCCCCTCTGCTCTAAGTGCCGCGGGCCTACCCCCGCTACTCGAGTGTTTTTCCCCCTGCAACCCTTCACAGTCACGGCCACAGGTAAGTACCGGCCCTGCGGGGCCTTGCAACCAACAAGTACCCTTGCGGGTCACACACACACTCAACCGTCAAGCACTCAGACAGGCATGCAAACCAGCAGGCACGCACACACACACAGACATGGAAATCATAGCAGAATGCGGGAGTTTCAACAAGGCATTCATTCCAGCGGCAAATCCCAGAAATCAGCAGTGTTCTCAGTCTGTGTTTTTGGCGGGTCATTACATTACCCCCCTCTTAAGAGCGAGGTCCCTTCGAGCGAGTAACTCAATCAGAGTTGGCACAAAATGCATCGTAGGAGTAGATAAGAAGGAGAGACTTAGTAAGTCCGTGAGGAGTCATTTCTGCAACGAATTTAGCAGTCTATCCCTCAGCGATCTGTCGTTCATAAGCGTTCACAACACGGGGAGCACTCTTTAGCAGCTCTTTTCGGTCGATCCATAAAAATTCAGTCAACGGGTGATAGAGGAAGTGAACCTTGTATTGTGTGTTCCTCCCTCTTCCCTCGTGAGAAACGATTCGGTCTATCTCATGGCCGCCGTCGATAGGGCGAGGTATCATAGGATCTCGGAAGGGAAAAGTCTCATCATCAATGTGCGGAAACAGTTTGGACGCATGAAAAATTGGGTACGTGCGCAAATGAGGAGGCACGTCAATTAAAAATGAAGGGCCAAAATCATCCCCAATCACCTTCAGAATCTGGCAAGGGCCTTAATACAAAGGAAGGAGCTTTCGTGATACGCCCTCTTCGTCAGAGAACTCAGACATTTTGACCCAAACATAATCCCCTACTTTGAATTTCTCTTCTTTGCGCATCTTGTTAGCATGTTTGATCATGGCATGCCAGCGCTTGTTCATGGTTGCGATCACAGTTTTGAGCAAGCGCGCGTACTTGGCATTGTAGCCAGTCATGCCGGGCATCAGACCAGGTGACCGTTCGGGGAACAGATAGGAGAGGGGATTGCGCATCGGCCATCCATACTGCAGCTGGTTTGGTGTCACGCCAGTTGCAGAATGAATGGAATTGTTATACAGTCCCTTTACCTTGTGCAGCTCCTTGTCCCACGTGTTCTGATCTGGAACAATCAATGCGCGGAGTAGTTGGATGACAGTCTAGTTGATCTCCTCAGCCAATCCATTGGCTTCGGGGTGTCGACCAAAAGTCTTGTTCAATTTAATGTCGTAGATCTGCGACGTGAAGTCCTTCCAATCTTTGCTGATGAATCTGGTGTCCCGATCACTCACAATAGTTTTCGGGATGCCAAACTGCAGAATGTACTGCTGATGGAATTCCTCAATGACAAGTTCAGTTGGTGCATGGGGAGGGAAAGGGATCAGATTCAGAAATTTGGAGAAACGATCCACGATGACCATGACCTGTGAATTCCCTGCTGCACTCACCTTTCCCATGTCCGTGAAGTCGATGGAGATCGATTCACTGGGTCCATCAGGAATGGGGAGGGGCCTCAGCAGGCCATAAGGCTTATGCCTGTGGACTTTGGTTCTCTGACATACCTGACATTCAGCAATAAATTTCTGAGCAGATCCTTTCATCCCTGGCCAGTCAAACTGCTGCAGAAGACTTTCATAAGTCTTCTCAAAGCCAAAGTGTCCACTCCGACCATGTGCCAGGTCCAAGAAATGAGTTCGGAGAGGCGCATGGTTGGGATCACACAAGCAGTCAAACTTCCCATACCGGTGAAATACAAGACCCTCGCATTCATGAAAATCAGGCTGTCTGTTAGGGTCAGCCTTGAGCTGCTCAAGGATGGGACTAAGGTCCGGATCCTTGGCGGTGTGTTCGATCAGATCCTCCTTCAGTTTCCTTCGGAGGTCATACGAACCCACAAGGCAAGTCAAGAATTCAAGATGGCGCGACAATGCATCGGCAACCCGGTTATAACAGCCTTTCTTGTGTTTCAATTCAAAGTTGTAGACATCAATATCATGCAACTAGCGGGTCAATGTAGGAGAGAGTTCAGATTGTGTCTGAATCCACTGCAAGGTCTGATGATCAGAGTAGACCTTGAAGTGGCGACCCAAGAGGTAGTGTTTCCAATGTGCAAGAGCTTCGCGCAGGGCGTAGAGCTCACGCATATACGTGGAAGTAGCTACCTTGTGGTTGGGCATGCGTTTGTTGTAATACTCGAGCGGACGCAGGCCATCAMCATCATCTTGTTGCAGCACTGCACCAATCCCGAACTKGCTCGCATCCGTAGTGACTACGAAMGTGAGGTTGGGATCTGCAATGCGAAGCACAGGATGACTCACCAATGCCTCTTTCAAGGCTTGGAACGCAGTCTCACACTTCTCACACCATGCATAGGCAACATTCTTGKTGGTTAGTCTTGAGAGAGGGTGAGCAATGACAAAGAATTTGGGCACAAACTTTCGGTAATACGAGGCCAGACCAAGAAAAGAACGCAGTTCGCGTACGTTTGCCGGTTGAGGCCAGTTTCGGATGACCTCAACCTTGGTTGCCTCCGGCTCAAGGCCGTTTGCAGACAACCGGTGTCCAAGATAGATGACGTTGTCCCTCCCAAACTCAGATTTCTCTAAGTTGAGGTGCAACTGCGCCTCCTTGAGGACCTGCAAAACTTCCTCAAGGTGCTTGAGGTGCTCCTCCATGGTTTTGCTGAAGATCAGGATATCGTCAAGGTACACAACCACAAACCTGTTGAGTTGATGGCAAAGTACCTTGTCCATGAGGCATTGAAAGGTGGTCGTCGCATTCGTAAGACCGAAGGGCATAACGATGAACTCGTACAACCCATCGCGTGTTTTGAATGCAGTCTTGTGCTGGTCACTCGGATTAACTTCAATCTGGTGGTAACCAGATTTGAGGTCGATCTTGGAGAAGACCTTGCACCCACCTGCCGCATCCAGCAGATCATTTATGCGAGGCAAAGGGTAAGCATTCTTTCTTGTGATCCGATTAAGGCCACGATAGTCAATACACATCCGGAGTTTGCCTCCTTTCTTTGGCACGAACAGGACAGGTGCACCGAACTCAGACTCACTGGGCCTAATCCATCCACGGTCAATCATATCATCAATCTGCCTTCTCAATTCCTCCAACTCGCCTTGTCCCATACGATAGACGCAGCCCTTTGGAGGAACACTCCCCTCTATTATCTCGATTTTGTGTTTGACTGGACACTCGGGAACTCCACGAGGTTCGGCCAAAACTTCAGGGAATCGATCTAATAGCTGGCGAATGTTTGTTGGGACTTCCGGTGGAGGATCATCCTCATCAGGAGAAAGAAAATTAGACTGAGAATTTACAGCAATGACAACCGGATTAGAAGTTGAAGGATTATTCACAGTAGAAGTAGATGGATTAGAAACAGAGGTGGTAGAAGTAGAGTTACTTACCGAGGTAGAAAACGCAGCAAAAGTAGAAGGCACATGGATAGGATTTACGAAAGCTACATGTACATGCTCAATCTCCTTGCGCCAGCACATTGATTTGCAGAATTTGGTTGCACTTAAAAGAGCCACAGGGGACTCGCGCGTCTCATCCAATAGGACGGTACGCTCGTTCCCCTTGGCATCACGCACCACGAACTGGTTGTCCGCCCACGTGGTCCTTAGGAAATGAGCCTTTAACCAGCCCAAGCCAATGACCGTGTCGAACGGGCACTTGTCCATGACATAGAAGTTGAGCTCATGTGTGACAGTGCGGTCTTTGTCAAAGGTGACGCGCACACCTTTGACAGCATGCGTCGAGGTGACAACCTCTTGTTGCCCACCTGGGTCTGACAAGGGTTCTGCAGTTCCACTTGCTTCATTCCCAGGCCAGCCTTACGAATCCCGTTAGAAGAAAATAAGTTAGTGGTTGAACCACTATCAATCAGCACGCGGATGTATCGGCGGTTAATGAGCAGTTTAAAGAAGGTTAGTTCCACACTCCCTTGAACATGGCGTTGTTGCTTGAGCTGCAGCCAGTGTTCCATGTGAGCGTGGAAGTCAACTTCCGTAGACTCCTCCCAAGGCTCGGTGTAAAGCACATGAATTGCAACAACCTTGGAATCAGCGTCGTTTCGGGCTTCAAGAGTGGGCTGTTGATCAGATTCAGGCTCATTAGAGGGGCCTGCAACTGATGTTCCAGCTTCCCTTGTTGTAGGGAATGCTGATGACTCCTCTACGCCCTTTGCTTTTTTCCCTGCAGTCTATAACAGTCCTGCACAACATGCCCAGGCTTTTGACAATGTAGGCATATGCGCAGTTGAGATCTTCTTTCCCATTCCTTGTGACTGATACGGAGGGCTTCCCAAGGCTTGGTTGATGCATCCTCCGGTTTCTCAGGGATCTTCGCGTTCTTTGGAAGGTGGACAACAGTTCCCTTACCCGAACCACGGTTGGGCCCCTTGTTTGAAGCAGTCTTTCTAAAAGCATTCAACTTTTCATCTTCGTTGATGTCAGACTCAATGGCTGATGTGGAACAGCCCATATCGGAGTCCGGCTCTAAATCGTCATCTAGAGACAGATCATCCGCATAGGACTGATCTTCAGCCTCCTGATGATCATGCAGTGCAAGCTGGTTGCTGCTTCCAAACCGCTTGCGTTGTGGTTTCCCACCTGCAGCGGGCGCCTTCTTCCGCCTGGCGAGGTCCTTGGCCTCTAGGTTTACTAGATCCGTCATGAGCTCTCGCCAGGTGGAGTGGTCTTTGAGTGCCAACAGGGAGAGATACTCTTTGGGGGCCACTCTCATGACTACATCCATACAAGACACGTCAGTCATTCCCAGATCCGGTGTAGTGAACAGACCAGTCAAGTGTTGCTCCAAAGCTTGCATGGAAGACCTCCATGTCTGACCCTTGAGGGCCTCAAGCTTGAGCCTAGCCTTGAGCGCAGCATGCTTGTCTTGATATCGTGCAAGGAGAAGGTCCTCAAGGGCGCGTACAGGGGTGACCTTCAGCCATTCAGTCAGGTCTATGCGTTCATAGCCTGCAGCAACAGCTTGGAGCTCAATGTGGTTTCGTACGGCGGGCTCAGTATTAGTCCCCATGATCATACTCCGGTCCTCTTGCGGTGTCCGCATGACCTCGAAGTACGACCGCATGAAACTAATCCAAAAGGTGATGTCTGCCTTCCCGTCGTACTTGGACGGCAGCGTGGCCGCCCGCTTGTCCACCATGGGACCGCTGTACTGAACGCCAGTAAGGACTGTGGCATTTTGGGCTGATGTCCCTGCATTTGGGACCATGACTAGCGCAGAACTGCCGGTGCTGCCGCTCGAGGAGTTGGTGCCGGTTCCTGCGCTTGCCACAGTTCCGCTTGCCCTTATTGCGAGGACTGTGTTAGTTTGAGAGACCGAGACTACAGCAAGTCGAGAGTTAGGAGGGCGGGGGGCAGACAGTTGGGACTGTTTGAGGCTGATTATCTCAGCCTGCAGCTCTTGGTTCCGCTGCTCCAACGCTGTCACACGGGACTCAAGATCCTCCAAGTTCCGCAGTTGAACCAAGGCTGCTACGGCACCAACTAGCCTCTCCTGGAACCGGTCAGCATTGGCTTCCGGGACCTGTAGGAGGGCCACCTGAGCAGCTATGCTTGTAGCCCTGGTTGCTGCCTCTACCTCCCTCTCCCTTTGTACCGCGTCGTCATACAATTTTTGAAAGAACGGTTTCTCGCTCTCGTCCGCTGTGTCCAGCATGGCCTGCCATTGGGCAGATGTGATGTCTGCCATGCCGGAGGAAGGGGTGTCAGTAGATCTCTCAAGAGGGGTCTGCTCTCTCCTCACGTTTGGACGAACACTCCTCTTGCCCCTCACACTCTCAAACAGAACACCTTCTCTCTCCCTTTCTTCTCTTTTCGCTGTCTGCGCACGCGTCTCGATACTGGACATAGATAGTTCAGATAAAAGAAACAATCAGAAAGTTCACACAGAGAAGAAGGTAGAACTCCTAGCCGGAGCGGCGATTCATTTGGACTTAGAGAATGGCACGCAGCGAAAAAAGGGAAAAAAAAAAAAAA